GACGGCACGTAACAACAACAACAACAATGGAACAGTGTTCAGCATCACAGCAACTCCCAAGTTGTTCAGTACATCAAATAGACAAATGATTGCTGTGCCACTTAAAGAATATTCATTCTAAAATTAATAAATTTGGCCTGAGGGCCATAGACACATCTGTAATGTACTTAGTATAATTTACTAAGGGTTGCAAACAGCCATGGAGTACTTGCAAGAGGACTTAGCTGCACCGTTTGAAAGCAGGCAAAGAATGACAGGATGGACTGAAAGCAGCTCCAGACTTCCTGGAGCATGTACCACCATGAAGGGGACTTGGAGAAGTTTCAGTTAAACAGGAAAAGTTTTGGTGTCCTTGATAGAGTTGTTATTGAGTACAGTAAAACCCTTCTATGAGTACAAGGATGTTCCCTTGGAAACTATTCAAACTTACCTGTGTTATGTATGGGTCACCATGACCCAGGTTAACTGCTTGGAAAGCAACTATGCTTAACCATTTACTCACCCTATGAAATCATGCTTTGCTGTATGCTTTAATTTTCTGCTAGTAAAAACAGGTTCTGAAGCTGCTTAGTGCCATTAGCCTGAGCATTCTTTTGGTCCTCTGGAACCACATTTTACTTTGCTATTCTTTCTTCAGCCCTGCTCAGGAGAAACACCCATCCCCTCAATATGGGATTTTAAAGACGCACCTTTTAGCAGGCCTCCACCCTTGGTCACAGGTTCGAAGGACACCTGCTTTTGGGGAGAATAGTAACATATATCAAACACAACTCAAAAACTTTCCTTACGTGAGTGACTGCCAGTGAGATATGACTGCCATCAAGATGCTAGCAACCAACTAGAGTGGAGGCTCCAGGTTCCCAGCCTGCCAGCTGACCCATCCCCTCACTTGTATTAGTATCCAAATTATTGAGGAGAAGTGATGTCAGTTTGAGGATTAAGGTTTGTCTGATTAAGGCCATGACCTTTAAAATTACTAGCTATGCATCTGAGATCTGGACAATGAGTAAGGGTGACAGAAAAAGAATTGATGCTTTCAGCTGTAGTGTTGGATAATAGCACTGAACATTCCATAGATGGCCAAGAAAACAAATAGACATGTCTTGGAGAGGGTCCAGCCAGAGTACTCTTTAGAGGCAAGAATAATGAGGCTTTACCTCATATACTTTGGGCATATTGCTAGGAGGGGCTATTCCTTAGAGAGGGGCATGATGTTGGGCAGGGTGGAGGATCGGCAAAGGAGAGACCCTCAACCAGGTGGTTTGACAAGGTGTCTGCTGCAGTGGCTCTTGTGTGTCAGGAAGTGTGAGGATGGCAAAGGACAGGGTTGCTATGAGTCGTACTCTCCTTGATGGCACCTAACAATAACAACAACAATCCCAGAACATTTGATTGTGCTTATGCGAAACTTGTACTTGGACCAGGAGGCAGACATCAGAACAGAGCAAGAAGACACCGCATGGTTCAAAATTGGGAAGGGTGTACTCCAGGGATGTATTCTGTCTCCATACCTTTTCAATCTGTATGCAGAACAAATCATCCTGGAGACATGAGGAGGAATGTGGCATCTGGATTGGAGGAAGATTCATCAACAACCTGTGTTATGCGGATGATACGACCCTGCTGCTGAGACTGAGGAGAACCTGGGCACTTGTTGGAAAAGACTGCAACCTTCAATATGGATTGAAGCTCAATATCAAGAAAACAAAGATTCTCACCACTAGGTCAATTGGCAGAATCATGATGGATGGTGAAGAGATTGAGATTGTTAAATTTGCTTGGCTCCACAATCAACACTCTTGGAACAAGCAGCCAGAAAATTAAGAGATGAATTGCATTGGGAAAGTTGGCTGTCAGGGACCTATTCAGAGTACTGAAGAGCAGCGATGTCAGTCTGGAGACTAAGTTGTGCTTGATTCCCAGGGTAGTCTTCACAATTGCATGCTATGCATCAGAGAGCTGGACAATGACGAGGGAT